TTGCTGACAGCTGGGCCTTGACAAAGTCCAATTGATTCTTTAACACTCAGGCTCAGTTTCCTTCCAGCTTAAGTGATCCTTCACTCTCCGACAGCCCTGTCTCTACCTCCATTATAACACCTATTTCACTGATGATAATTTTTTTATTTTTCCGTCACCTTGACCACTCACATATAAACTGCTTAAGGGCAGAGTAACCAACCCATCCTGGTCATTTGTGTAGCATCAAGTTGCTTCAGATAGTTAGTGCTTTGCACTAAGGGGCTCGATAAATGTTGACTGCGTCAAAGTTCCCCACTGAAGTATGGTAAAGAACATTGAGCTTAGAAAAAGGATCTTCTTCTAAAAGAATAAAAGCAATGCAGTTACATTATTATAGAGACACTGAACCCAGACATTGCTTACACTGCTTCAAATTAAGGAGCAGGTCAAAAGAGATGGTTTTTCATGAAGAATCTGGAAGGAATGCAAAAACAAAGACACACGTTGATAAATGTGGCAGAACATGTGAGCAGACAAACCTCGATGAGGCAACCGCTAAATGCTTCAGGAGGAGGTAGTAAAAACATGCCTCTCATCACTGATCCCTGAGTAACATCCAAGACCTGGAGCACCATCCTTACACCCGGTTAACTGGATATTGAAAAGCCCTCTAATATCAGACAGCCTTTCATAACTTAAAATTGTTTTTCACCGGTGCTTTAACTCAGCTCATGGTGATAGGTATAGCACAAAGTCCCTGCCCTTTCACCCTGAACTGAAGTCTGAGCAGATCTTTAAGTCTCTCTCTCTTTTGATGGAATCAACCACAGAGGGCAAACATTATCTTCTCTATAAAGTGAGATCACATCTCTTATGGCTTTTGGTTGGATCCTTACTCCTTCCTTTAATATATTTTAAAAATATATATTTTCCAACACTTGGAAATGAACTCGTATTTTATGATTGAAATGATGTAATTCTACCTGATATTTTATTTTTGGAGAAAATATTGGTGTTCATTGAACTGCCTTTGATTTAATCTGTGTATACTACGTTTATATTTACCTTAGTCTTCTTGCGTAGAAGATTGAAAATCCAATTTCAGAGGTCTGCAAAAAGGAATTAGATTTAGTAAGCTAATTTATTTAGAATGATGGGAAAATGTGGTATTCTGATTAACTCAATGTTCTAATTAACTAAGCTACCCTGCTCACCAGAAATTGGTGACTGCTTCTCAAAAACTTGGTACAATATTCTAACAAAATTTAATATAAGATTTTACCTGTCTTGATTTCATTGGGGCATTGAATTTCGAGAGATCCATCATTATAAACATTATAAATCATTACAAGTTCTTTATCATATTGTGTTACCAATGCAGAAGTTGTAAAATTCCAGCCATTATCCATGAACAGAAGGTTCACAGATGATTTTAATGGCCAAAGATTGTTGATGGAAGAGGACTACCTGGGTCCCAGGGAAACCTGTGAATACTAGCCAGTTCTTTTCAGGCATTTCCATCCCACCCTCACCACCCCCATCTTTTCTCCTTTCCCCTTTCTCCCTCCCATTTCCTGTACCCATTCCATGCCTTAAGCGCCTCTAACCTGCTTTGCACTCCAGTTACTCACTGCTGAAGTACTAAGGTATCAGTTAATAGAAGATGAAGATGAGATTACCATGATCCTAGGAATATCCATACTCTTGGTGAACCTGCTTACGTAGCTGCCTTCCAAATGAAAAGAAGAAATTATTTATCTTTAACTAATTAACCCCTGGCTTTATAGTTCAATTTCCCATTAGGCTCCCTGGCACAAACTTTCAACCAGCTTTCATTCTATCCCATGCCTCCTTGCCATTCACATACTGCTCCTTGTACCTGGTAAAATCTCCCTTGCATCTGGCCCAGCCCATAGCCCTACCACTTGCTTCACCTTAGTGATTTGTCCTTTAATGCAGGGCTCTGCGTGGAGAAGTTTTCCCAGGCTTCCTGGTCTGTGTTAGATATCCCTCCTAAAGCTTCCCCAGAACTCTAGGCACATGAGAACTTCTTGTTTACACTGTAATTATTCATGCCTTTTTGTTTTCTCCATGAACTAAACTGTAGCCTCCTTAAGCCATATCAGTCTTCATATTTCAACATCCAGTGAATTACCAGGCATTCACAGCTCATTAAGGTTGAACAAATGAAAGTTTTTAATGAAATAAAGGGTGTTTGATAGACCATCATTTCATGGAGAATGAAATTTTAAAAAATAATAATAATACTGTAAAAATGTTATCAACCCCATAATAGACCACAAAACATAATATATACAGACCCCATAACACTATAAGGTTGTTTGGAATTCGTGTTTAAAAAAATCCCTGATACGAGCCTATTAACTTTTCATTTGTTCCTCTCTCACTAAAGTTGAGCACAAAACAATCCCATTATTTAGGTTTCCCAATTGTCTAAGTTTCAGATAAATAGGCTTACCACGTTTGTGAGTGCTTTTATGCACTTTAATCAATATATTTCCCAGTTTGAACAAGACAATAAATTAATTCCTGTCTTTTTTAAACTAGTTTCCACTTACTCAAAGATGTCATTACACAACCTGGAGGCAGCCTTGAAGAGTGAAAAACATTTTTTTCCTTCGGTCCAGAAGTTGGTATACCTGCAGGTTTTAGTCCTGGCTCTGCCGCCAGCTTAATCTGTGGCCTTGGGGAAATGACGTAACATTGATGGGCCTCAGTTTCCTCATCTATAAAACATAGGAGTTGGACCAGTTAATTTTTAAGAGCCCTGTCAGTTTTAAAATTCTATTATTACATAAATCTTTAATTCTAGTATAGAGCAGGTGGACTCGGAAAGAACTAGAAATATCGACACTCTACCGTCACCCAATGAAGATAATCTCCATCACGTGCAACTCAATTTAAAATCCACGGGAAAGTCAAATTTGCATGCACGGTGTCTGAGTGGCCAAGAGTAATAAAGAGAGGACATGGAAGGAGCAGAAAGCAGGGCGAGGGGACCCATGCACTCCGTGAAACAGTACACAGCCTAAATGCATTTTCTCTCGCTGATGTATTTTAAATCTGTGACTATGAATATACCACAGTGAACAGCTTGAAGTTCTTTGGAACAAACACTGGCTCTTCTAAGGTCACTCCTGAAGGAACTGCAATAATAACATTTGGCATATGTAGATAGAGGGCTTCGCAGACTGGAGCATGGAGAATTATGCTCTGCGTGTTCCAGAAAAGATGATCCATGGTTCAGGTGAAAAAAAATGTCAGGTACATTTTTGACAGTGGCAGCAAACCCAAACAGTGTAACCAAACAATCAATATGGACGCCCTCATTAAAATCCCCAAGTAGCTGCGAGTTTGATTTTCAGCAGGGTCTGGACAGGAATAATGGATTTGGTGGCCTGGAGGAACATTAGAGGTTTTAATAAAAGGAACTTAAAATTACCAGTGTTGGCACTGGTTCCAAGGGAGCCCTGGCTCCGTGTCCGTAACAACACAGGATGAACCTAATTCTTTGCCTCGCCAATCCTTGCTATTCAGTCTAAAAATGCCATTTTACATACAGCCTGATAATTTCCCCTCAAAAATATACTCATAAAAATTGCTTTAAAATTCCTGATCAATGTTTTCAGTTCACATAGATATTAAACCGAATTTCCTAAAGCCTGAAAAGCTAATTATGCATTCAATTAGAGTTTCTTAATAAAGATTAAAACTCTGAAGCCTATTACAAGCCCATATTTAATTCAACTGCCATTTTATCCACGCCATGGAAGTGTAAGTGGTAACAATGAATATAAATTATAATACATGCCACAGAAAGAATGCTATTTGTCCAAGTACGTTACTATAAAGAATTAAATTTTGCTATCAGTTCCATGATCTAGTTAAAATTGGTATTCTTTATTTGGTCTTTCAATGTAGTCCAATTTCCTACTTTGAAAAACAAATTCTAGGGAATAAAGAAAAGAGATTAATTTATCATTAAGACTCTGCTTAATTGAAGTCAATTCCGAACAAACTTGAATTCAATTTCTGCTCATTAAATTGAATGTGCTCTGCGTTCCTCTCTGCATTGCTTTGAGCAAGCAGCTGAGAACAAGGGACTAACATCAAAATTATTAAATTGAGGAGATTTTATTTGGTCTTCACATGCCAGAGCCGCTTTGATGAGGAGCTGTTTTGGCACTGAAAGGAAAGAAGAGCAGCTGGAGGAAAAATCAAATGAAACTAAGCCTTGGAAAATTGAAGAAAACGCAAGCTTAATAATATTTAATAATTAAATTTCCACAAACAATAGCGGCAAATGAAGTAATCTGCAAAGTCTGTGAACTCATTTGCATAATTGATGCCGGTCCCCTGTAAATGAATAATGAAGATAATAAAAGATGTTGCTAAAAATGGGCACAATAACAGCAAATTTCATCAAGCCGCGCTCTCTGATTAATCTGCTCTTGCAAATCAGCAGCGAGAGGGGAGCGCGTGATTAACCGCGCCGAGGACGGCAGCAGGCGGCGGCGCTGCCCTTTCTCTGCGTGTCTCTGGGCGCGTCCTGCCCGCTCCCCGCGCCGCCCGCG